TGCCCTGAGGATATATTTTTCATCACAACTATGGAAGCTCCTGGCAAACTGTCACTGGCTCCTCACTCCCATTCTTATTATGGTCTCCCATCTCCAAGTCTCCACACACAGATCACTTGGAATTGCTTGGAATTGCAGGCTCTGCTGCTCATTACCTCATTAGCAATATGAATTGACTAAACATCCACTCCTGCCAAAGGCACGCTATTCCCTTCCCATCTGTCCACTGGTTTGGGACATAAGCCTTCCCACGGTTTCAGCCTAGCACAGCACCAGAGTAAGTTGCAAAACACAGCTCCACTGCAGCAGTCATGGGTGTAGCAGGAGGAGCTCCAACAGAAAAAGCCCTAAATGGCACAGCAAAGTCCAGGCTGCCTCTTGCTTCTCCCTGGAGATCAGCCCACCTTGCAGTCCATCAACACCACCGCCCCCTGTACTTCCCAGGTCCTCTCTGAACCAGACTGACACCCATCTTCATTTAGAGGTTTCCCCACTTTGCAGCATGTGAATGATTTATTGGAGGCTATATTGAATTTGAGTTTCAGGGACATGTTGGTGCTTCTTGTCTGTTGCTGTATCAAACCAATGCTGTCTCCTGACAAGCAGCAGTGGAGTATGCTGCAGGAAGCCCTATTTTCCTAATTTCATTTCAAGACTCTCAGATTTTTAATAAACTGCTGCTTGGATGTTTTAATCCAGCCCTTTCCCATTCACTCTGACTGAAATAATCTGCTATGTTGTTATCCTTATGACCACCCACCTAGAAGATAATAGCAAAATTCATGACAACCCTTATACACCAATGACATCTTAAAACACACATTTTAGCTTATTTCAAGAAACTGCCTTATTTTTTTTCTTATTTTTAGATTTCAGGATCCTTGTATGAGGAACTCAGCAATATGACTTAAGCAAAATCCTAAGCCCTTACATTTACTCTTGTAAAGCATGTATTTGATAAATCAAATTGATTTAACTTTTTATTTTGTAGCTAATGGGGACAAAGTTTCAGATTTTTCATACTAGAGAATTCAGTGCACAAACTGACAGGCCTAAACTATGATCTCCTCTCATCCACCAAAGGCTTCTGTGGTCTCATCACAAAAGCTCTACATTGAACCTTATCTGCAGCTCCAGTAGACTGAAGAGAACACCATAAACCAACACATATGGCAGATAAGTCATCCTGTCATTAAGGCAGCTTCTTGCCAGTGAAAAATTATTTAAGCATGATGACTCACAATCCCAGTAAGCTGCAAAACATATTAAAAGGAGAGCAGAAGAATCAGGGCTCTAGGAAGGAGCTGTATCTATCACTTGTCATAACCAGCACTAGATGAAACCCTTTATCTGATTCTCCACAAGGATGCTGTAAGGTTTAACAATGCTTAGCACAAAGTAAAATTCAAAAGATAGAAAGATGAGTAATGGGTGATGCACATGAATCAAAAATAAGCCAATGTTCAACAACTGGTTGTTATTGCATCTGTGTGGGTAGTCCTCCTTTGGTTGAAATCCCTATGGCTTTTGGGGAGCTCCTATGCTACACTTTTACTTCTTGCTAGTAATCACAGTTTCCTTGCTACCTAGAAGGCCTTCAGCAACATAATCTGAATCAAAGTGAAGACTGTAGTGCCCAAAAAGGCCCAGCAAATTGGGATCTGTCAAGTGTCTTCTCAGAGCAGTGTTAGGTGACACAAAGGGGATCCACACTCTTAGTGGATCACTCACCACATACATGACATGAGATTTTATTTCCATGGGCTGCTTCTACACAGTCTGAAGAATTGTCTTAAGCACTGTGGTGAAAACCTGGGTTGGCTGAGTTACCCCAGCCCACCAGAGCTGTCAGAGCAGGGCTCTGTGGGAGAAGTGTGTTTGACCTCAGCCTTAGAGGGCTGGAGCCCCTCTGCTCTGGAGCCAGCCTGGCAGAACTGGGGCTGTTCACCTGCACAAGAGAAGGCTCCAGGGAGAGCTCAGAGCCCCTGCCAGGGCCTGAAGGGGCTCCAGAAGAGCTGCAGAGGGACTGGGGACAAGGCGGGGAGAGACAGGACACGGAATGGCTTCCATTGTCAGAGGGCAGGGACAGATGGGATATTGGGAAGGAATTGCTGGCTGGGAGGGCAGGCAGGCCCTGGCACAGGGTGCCCAGAGAAACTGTGGCTGTTCCTGGATCCCTGGAAGTGTCCAGGACCAGGCTGGATGGGGCTTGGAGCACCCTGGGCTAGTGGAAGTTGTCCCTGCCCATGGCAGGGGGCTGACACTGGATGAGCTTTAAGGTCCCTTCTAAACTATTGTGTGATTCTATCTAAAGAGTGACCCAGTGTTAACTGAAATCACATAACACAATAATATTAATCTCTTTCTTACTTGATCATTTTCATGTCGTGTTTAATCTTCATTGTTCATTGATTTCTCTAAGGCCACTATTCTCATGAAGTTTGGTGACTTGCAATTCCAATGCACTCATTCTTTCAGCATGGTTTTGCTTTGGAAGTCCTTCATTTTCATCTAAAACTTCACTCCTACAGGATGAGTTGTCAGCATCTCTACACCCTGTATTATGTTATGTAATTAAAAGATAAAGAGTAGTTCTAGAATATGTTCAAGCTGATACCACATATTCATGAATAAGCATGTCTCTCTCTATATATATAAATGGTAAAAGTTAATGGAAATCATATTCTTATCTATTTCAATTAATATCTTTAAAGACCAAACCTTTTACAAGAAGGTGATGGCACAGAAAGCTGCAGAGCTATGCAGTGAAAGGTATTCTGTGTGCTTATGCTGACATACAATTAGTTTTGTGCACTTCAGACATCTCTCTGGAGTCCTGTAAATATATACAAATAAAATCAGTCCTGTGAAATGTAGTCTGCAATTTTTCCATTCAGTGGAAATAATTATTCATTAGAGGAAGACTTGTTTTCATTTTATATCACCAGCCTAAAGTTGAGTGTCAGATTAAGACTCTCAGGAGATGTCTGATGACAACACAGTCAGAAAGGTGATCAAATGTAAATAGTAAACTATTTTGACACAGCTCTCCAGTAATCACCACACAGTATCATCTCCACACAGTACTTTTTTTTATTTTCACAGTACTTTTTTTATTTTCCTATATTCCCAGGTTTCATACAGTAAACAGAAGGATAAATAATATCTGTAATGCACATAGGTGTGAAATATGTTGCAGCTAGACTTATCCCTGACTGAAAAGCTACCAGCTCCACTGACAGTAACAGAGAACCACAGAATGTCCTGAGATGGAAGAGACCCACCAGGATCATCCAGTCCAGCTCCTGCCCTGCACAGACACCCCAGCAATCCCACCCTGGGATCCCTGGCAGTGCTGTTCAGATGCTCCTGGAGCTCTGGCAGCCTCGGGGCCGTGCCCATTCCCTGAGGAGCCAGGGCAGTGAAGACAGAGTCATTGATATATCACATAGCACAGGCTTTGAAATACACTTTTTTCCTTCATTGATATTATAACATTTTCCAGTTTATATCTAGCTTGTGCAGTTTTTTTGAGTAAAAACCACTTGTACCTTGAACCTCTCTGTCTTTGAAGAGGCTGAAGAGACTGAGAGCAGCACTGTGGTTCAGCCCCTCTGACTGTGTCTTTTGTATTCAAAGGTTTTCTTTCCCAGTCATCAAATCAATGATGGTTCAATTGTCTCTGTCAAAGGTGTCTAGACAAGGAAATCTGTATTTGCTTGTTTTCTCATGCCCTCAAGATGATGTGTGTCTTTGTGTCATAGGGAGTTCTTTTATATGCCAAGTGCCTAAACTGAAGACTTTGTAAATACAGACTATGTATGCAGATACTGAAAAGGTAACAAGAGTAGAAGATAGATAGATACACACACCAACACATATACACATGGACACTTTTTTCCCCCTGCTCTAAGTGAAAAACTGCAGTGGAGGTTGGTTGCTCTCATAAAGAACCTTTACAAGACCAACCAGCAGAGCAGCAGGTAGCACTCGTACAGGATCACATTACAGCAAGAGCCTGAACAGGAACTGCAGTATTGCTGTGGTTCAGTGACAGGATGATTTCTGGCAGGTTAGACTCTGCAACTTTTTGAAGCGCTATCAGCTGCACAGCTGCAGTGGTGTATGGTTACAAAATTATGCTTTTTAAAATAAAATGGGCAATTTACCCAGAGTTTTGTTTATACACAAGTCCTAAGTGTAAGGTTCTTTAAACTGTTTTTAGGTTTGTTTTTTTTTTCCAGCTCTTTCTAAGATTTCCCTGCTGCTTATTGAACTTGATGCTACACATGACTCAGCAGTTTTAACTCCTGAAACTGGTGTTCCAGGAAGCAAGCCCAAATATCCACCCTACACCCATGCCTGGATTTGTGCAGATAGCCTGGGATAGCTGTGGAGTTCTTTAGGCACAACTGCTGCCAGTCTTCTGCGTCTGCACATGACCCTGCAGACACCTGAGCCCATGTCAAACTAGGAAGTCCAAAGAGTGCAGCAGCACACCAGTGCTTCTCATGTTGCCAAATACTATAAATAAAGTCTTATCTTGACAGAACACTTTTAACCTGCTAGGCCCTGAAAAGAATTCAAGTCAAACTATGTTTTCATGGAATATATGTTTTATTCTAAAGACCATATTCCCCAGTGTGCTCTGTGTGCACCAATGCTGTAATGTTGGGACATTCTCTGCCAAAGTTCCATTCTACCATACTGCCACACCTTGACACACAACATTGATAGGGAAATGGGAGAGGCCAGGACATAGAAGCCACCCTCCTGCAAACTGCATGGATGCTTAGGGCATAGTCCAGAATGTCTCCAAGGCTTGCAAAGGGGAAAACAGCACAGTGCTTGGACATCCCTGACATCTTCTGTACTATGGGGAGCAGTGCCAAGCTGCCAAAGCACACTGCAGATCTCATTTTTCATACAGCCTGTGCTCATATCTGCGGTTCATACAAGGAGAGAGAGATCTCTACAGCCATTCCCTCGGGTGTTGGTACCTGGTGCCTGTGTCACTGCCACTCTTCATTGCTCCTTCATCCGTGAAATTAAAGGTGCCGGTCCAATTTGCCAATTCCTCTCCATTCTGCCAGCTAAACTGCAGCCCTCTAGCAAGAAAACGAGGCAGTTGATATTTGATATCATTCATTAGGTTAAGTCTATCAGCATGAGTTCTCACGTCCTATTTATTAACATAAAAATGTGACCATGACACATACATCAAAAACAATTAAAAGACACCAAGAACAAGAAGATATGACCTTACTAGGGTAAACAAATAATTTTTACTTCCCACAGACTCTGCAAGTCCTTGGATGAAAACAATACCAGACTCTTCATACAAATTTGAAGTCCTGTAATTATCTGTGCTCATAAACACACATGTATGAGGAGGTAAAAATAAACATAAGGGCAAAAAGCTGGAGACATGGGAAATCATGGGGCTGAAGAAGTAAAAGCTCCAAACTTCAGTTCTACATCTACAGTAGTTGCTAAATGTGGTGGGCACTGGGTCCTTCCTCTGATTTGCTGTCTCTGCTAGCAAAGGATATGTCATTTGATGACCTCTAAAGTCATAATACAGTGCTTATTTTGCCTGTTTGGTAAGATGGCATTTTTTAAAGCCAATGCATAAACACAATCATCACAAGTCCCCGTTTTTCAGACTTTTACAGATTTGTTCCAACCCCCATGATGCCTGCAGTCTTCTGGAAATTACACCAATAGCAGGGTAGAAGCTTAAAAATGCTGGGGAAATATTTGACAACACAAGCCAAAACCCATCCCTTATCTCAGAAGCCAACAAAAAGGGATCTTGTAGATTGTTATTTTTAAACTTCTCTTCTTTAACCCAATTTCATTATTTCAGAAGCCTGGCAAGCTGAGTTGTGAACATTTGGTCCTGCCAATACTGAAAGTTAACTTCCCAGTTGGGCTGTGTGGGGTCAGCCAGGAAGCAATCTGCCAGCATGCTTTGTCCAAAACAAAGGGCATCCAAGACTCTAATAGTTTTGCTGGTCACCAGGCTTATGACAAGGGCTGGTGAATCTCTTTGGCCACATCCGTCCTTTAGTCTAATTGGCATCAATTAGCAGCACAGGGAATTAAGAAGGAACATGGGATGTTAAAATAGGCCCAGGGAAATCACACAAGGTTTGACAAGGCCAAGTGCAAAACCCGTACCTGGGCCAGGGCAGCCCCCAGGATCAACCCAGGCTGGGGATGAGCAGAGGAAGCAGCCCTGGGAGAAGGACCTGGGGGAGCTGTGGGTGAGAGCTGGACCCACCCCAGCCTGAACCCCCCCTGCCCTGGGCTGATCCCCCAGCGTGGGCAGCAGGGCAGGGGGGATTCTGCCCCTCTGCCCCTGTGCTCAGCTGAGACCCCACCTGCAGAGCTGCCCCAGCCCTGGCTCCAGCAGCACAAGGACGTGGAGCTGCTGGAGCCAGTCCAGAGGAGGCCACGGAGCGGCTGCCAGGGTTGGAGCCCCTCTGCTCTGGAGCCAGCCTGGCAGAGCTGGGGCTGTTCACCTGCACAAGAGAAGGCTCCAGGGAGAGCTCAGAGCCCCTGCCAGGGCCTGAAAGGTTTCCAGAAGAGCTGCAGAGGGACTGGGGACAAGGCAGTGAGGGACAGGACACAGGGAATGGCTTCCACTGCCAGAGGGACAGATGGGATATTGGGAAGGAATTGCTGGCTGGGAGGGCAGGCAGGCCCTGGCACAGGGTGCCCAGAGCAGCTGTGAATGCCCCTAGATCCCTGGCAGTGTTCAAGGCCAGGTTGGACAGGGCTTGAAGCTGCCTTGGCTAGTGGAAGTTGTCCCAGCCCATGGCAGGGGGAGTTGCTGGATGAGATTAAAGTTACTTTCCTGCCCAAACTGCCCTGTGATTCCATGGTTCATATCAAAGTGTGTCTACATTATGCTATAATGGCCATTGAGTGATGCAGTGCTCTGGATTATCAGGCAGCCCCATAACTTGTGTGTTTCTCTGGCAGTTTTCAATCAGATGACCTGCTGAAGGTAAAATTTATGAATATTTATGAATATTTGTGTGAAGAAAACATAAGAAAATTACTTGGACGCCATCACTTTGAGGCTTGTTGAAATAGATGCTTGTGGTTCTCTTCCATATACCATAGTCTTACATTTTTTGCAACACTGTAACTGGTATAGAAACCCAGTTTCTTCAAATATATATCTTTGTAAAAAACATTTAAGTATATGGCCTTAAAAGTATCTTTTAATTGTTAAACGCATCACTGAATGATACACTGGGAGAGAAGCATGGAAAAACCAAGTTGGGATTGCAACTTTTAATAGGATTTGAATTCTCTGTTTGGGACTTTGATATTTGCAAACTGAAATAGAGAGCATTAATCCAGATAAATATCTAGTGTTGGTGTGTCCTCCAAAGGTGAACTCTCCTACAGCATAGCCAATATTCAGGCAGATTAAATAAAGAATTAAAACATGCAATAAAGTACTTTCCCTGTCTGTGTCTTTACTCTGTATGTAACAGCTGAAAGGAAATCTAAGTAAATGTTCCAAGGTGAAGGGGGGTGAAGCTGTCCATCTAGGAAAACAAACTGTAAAATCACTCTTTAATGCCCCCCCCTTTCATCAAGCTGTTTTTGGGGAAGGGTGTGCACTGCAGCAGAGGCACCAAGTGTAAAGCACATTCACATTTAGGGTAAGATTCAAGGGGAGATTGCAAGACTAACCCTGAGGAATGGCAGATATGTCTTAAGATGACTATCTTGATATACTTAGCTTTGAAGTGGCAGGGTGGGGATCTAATTGAGGTACAAAAATATCCAGTGAGGGATCTGGGTATGACACTTTTCTGTGGTTAAGGACAAAGTACAGAGCTGAGAGCTGAGCTTAGGGTCACATTAAAATTAAATGTCCAGCCCTGAACCAGACAGACCATACAGAGCTCTTCTTCTAACAGGTACTCCAGGGATTAAGAGAATACAGGCTTATAAATACCCAAAACACCCCACCAAAGAAATTTTGCACAGCTCATAGGGCTGTGTGTCTCACTGTGAGTCTACAAAACTGAGACCAAGCTGCTGCTTTGCATTTTTTGCAGAGGTGGTACAATAAATCTCTTTCTCACAGTAAGAACAACTTCCATAAATAATGGTTTGTAGTATTAGGACTGAGTAGAAACTAAGGATGAGACATTTAAAAACACTGATTTAATTATTTTTCTAACAGGATTACTGAGAGCTTAACCATTTATTCCAATCAGCCTTGAGTTGGGAGAATTTAATTTTTGAAATACAAAATTTTCTAATCCTCTCAGGTTTAAGTTGTAAGCATCCATAAAAAATTATCTGGTCAAATGTGCAAACAGCCTGAGAAAACAGAAAAGAAACTTGAACCCCTTCATAAGTGTATTACTTTGGCATTCTATTTCAGTCAAATTCTACCATGCTCACTCTCAGCAGTGACTGCATTTAAACAGGTAAACAAATTAAGGTTCTGTGAATCAGAATTGCAATATAGAAGCACACAGAGGACAGAAGCACAGAAAAGGAAGAGAAAAAAACAACAGACCAAAAGGGAGGGTAAGGAAAGATTAAAAGAAGGTAAGGAAAGCAGACATCAAGGTCTACTATGTAATTTACATAGGTTATGTCAAACAGTTCAAACAAACAAAAAGAAAAAAAAAAAAAAAAAAGAAAAAAAGAAAAAAAGAAAAAAATTTTAAAAAAAGAAAAATGAAATAAAGAAAAACTAATTCTAAGCCTGGAATCATTGTCAATGATTGCCAAGTGGAACATTGCCATTTGCTCAATTTGCCCTAATAAAACAACTTCTAAAATCAGTATGTGTCCCCAGTGTGTGATGCTGATGACGGCAAGGAAAGAATTCATAAAAGGTGTAATAACCAGAAACTCTCAGTGCAGAGATGCTTTGTTTTGCCATGAATGTAAGCAAATTATTCATCAAGGAAGATATACGTCAGTTATGGATACCATTAATCACACGACTTATCCCTAATAAATAAAAGTATGAGCGATGCTCTGCCTTGCGTTGGAGAAGCTCGGTGAAGTTGGATGTCTTAGCAACAGAGACCTTGAGTTTCAGGTAAATGTCAAAGCAATATTTTGATCTTAATTGGCAACTGTAAGTGTTGAATCAGTGTGTGGTCAAATAAACATCGGTGTAAAGTAGAAATAGGAGGAGGGGGTGAAAAGCCAGAAAATTAGCCAAGCAGCAGTGACTCTGAAGGGCTTGTTCAAAAGTGGCTGTCAGGAAGCAGCAGGAAGCAAAGACTGAAAGCGTGTTGCTGCAATCCAAACAAAAAACAACTCCTACACAAGCAGAGGTTTTAATAGCAGAGGATATCAGATAATTATGAGGATTTTGAAGTACAAGGCAAGAATGAGCAAGCAGATGAATTGCAGAGAGAAGCTTTGCGCCCATGCTGCTGTCACACTGAGATCGCCCCTCAGCAGTGCCTATTACCTTCTGAAAAGGAAGGAAAGGTGAAAATTCACTTCGGACCAGAAGGCAGGGCTTATAAGGCAAGCTGCTAAAAGGAGACCCAAAAGTCTCCAAGCGCAGCTGGAGGTCATGTCTGGCTCTACCCAGAGAGTGGGCCATTATTGTGTATGCAGCAGAACCTGTTCAGGAGAGATCCATGTGCTTCCCAGGCACAAGAGCAGTTTGGGGCAGGTGGCTGAGTGACACAGCGATCAGCACCTCTGGGTGACAGGGACTGAATGGCAGCAGTGGCATCACTGCTACTCCAACCACAATCTATTCCCCAAATACCACCAGTTCATCCCATTTAATCCCAGGCAGCAAGCAATTTCCACTTTAAAAAGTGACAGCTACAGCTATCCTCATTTGGCATCTACCACAGGCAGGCTAAATCCAAGCCCAAGCAAAACCAGGCAGAAATGAATGTTATTTTATAATGGTAAAGCTAAGCCAAAACCTGACTCAGCTTGCTGGCCTACACAGATGGGCAAGGAAGAAGAAGCAGAGGAAGGGAAGGAAGATATGGATGTCCCCAAGAACAAGGCAAATTATTTGTCTTTCTGAGCTCCCTCTGTTATTTGTCATCACTTTTCCTGCTCTTGCTTTCCAGCAGTTCTC